TATTATTTATTTTTAAAATAAATATAATTAGTTTTTGATTCAAATTATTAATTAAGAAAAGTTTTTAAAGAATATAATTAATTTTAAAACTCTTTCCAGTGTAGTATTGGAAACAAAATAAAATTTAAATTAATTGATTTTCTTATAAAATTACACATAACTAGGTTTGATTATAAAATTTAATATAAATAACTTTTCAATCAATTATTAAAAATATAATCTTTAACAAACTTTTTTAATACAATAAATATTATAGTTTTATTTATTAAAACCTATCTTTATCTTTAAATTAATTTATGTTTGTTTTTATAATTACAATACACGAGTTTAAATAAACTTAACAATTAAAAACTAAAATTGGTTTTATTTATTTTAATTAAAAGATTTAATAGTTCGTTTAAACATTTTTAATTAAAAATATACTTTTTTAATAGTAACAATTTCACAAAGCAATAAATTCTAAACTAAATAATATAAAATTTTTATTAAAAGAAATCTTCAATTTTCATTTCTCTTTTAAGTATGCTAGTTGTACTTTCATCCTGATATTCTATTTCATAAGAATCATCAATTAAGTCTAATACTATTAAATCATCACTTTCAATTATTTCACAGTTGTCAATCTCTTCTATTACTTTGTTTTTCTTTGGTGAATAACTCTTTGGATTATTTGTTTTATCTACTAATTCCCTCTTTCTTGTCATAAAAAATAATCAAATTTTACACCCATGGATTTTAACAAAGAAGAACTTTTGAATAAAGCTTTTAAGAACATTAAATTAGAGAATGGAATTAAAATAATGGAAATAACACCAAATATAACTGATGAAGATATACTCACATATTTTTATTACAGACCAACTATTAACATTGTAAAAGACGATGATCTAATAGACGAATGTGTTAAAAACTATGAAATGATTTCTAATTCAGTTTTTTGCTTTAAATGTGATCAGAAAGGGCATGTAAGTAAAGATTGTCCAGATAATAAGCACAACACTTGTCAAAAATGTGATTTAATACATAAGAGAGGTGAATGTAAATTTGTTTTATGTTATAATTGTGATTTGTTAGGTCATCATGCAGCACAATGTAACCAAGTGAGAAAGAAAATTAAGTGTGATAAATGTCTAATTAATCATGATGTTCGAGAATGTCCTATAAACTGGAGATATTATCATCTTAAACCCGATGAAATTAAACCATTGAAAATGAGTTGTCCTTTGTGTTTTGCAACTGATCATTTCATGGATGATTGCAACATGGCAGATGATCAAACAACCGTTTTTACAAAAAATTTTAAGTTTCTTATAAAAACTTTTAAAAATGAGTATAAAAGATTTAAAAACAATAAAAAATAAGAATTTTATTTAAAAAGATTTGAATAAATTGAATTAGATGACACTGTTTCAGTTTTTTCTTGACGAGGTTTCGTTTTTGGAGGAAGTTTTCCTTCTTTTTGTAAAAGATAGTTTCGTATTCTAAGTGTGACAATTTTAAGTGCATCTATGTTTGTGTGACCTTTCCTCTCTAAGTCATCAACATATCCTTTTTGTTCCATTAACAAATCAACAACATTAAAAGTTGATTTTTTCTTTATTGGAACAACAGATTTAAATTGAGATGAAAATTCTGATGGTTGAACACTAAAAAACTTTTGAATTTTTGAATCATTAAGTGAGGGTGATTGTGAGTCAATTAACAACTGTGCACTTTCAACATCATCAAATTCAATTGTATATTTATCATGTGATAATTGATTGATGACTTTAACACCACCAAACTTTTCTGCATACTTTCTAATATCATCTTCTGTGTATTTATCTTCCTCTACATGATTTAAAACCACTTCGTTATTTTTCTTAAGTCTTTTAATAGAATGTTCTTCTTCATCACTTTGTTCTCTAGGATGAATAAAAAGACAAACATTATTTTTACAGGCATCACCAGATCTACAAAGATTCCTATCACACATGAATATTTTATTAAGAAAGTTTGCCGTTACATCTTTTAGTAATGGATTTAAAGAGTTTAATAAATCATTATAATGATCACCAGATGTTCTAATGACGTATTCGATGTTTGAAATTAACTCAGTTGCTATTTCTGAATGATTGTTATTGATAAATGCTTTTATTTTATCTTTTAGTGGATAATCTAATAGATTTCTTTTTAGTTTACATTTCTTTGTATTATTCATGGGTTTAAATAATTGTATTTTATAAATAAACTTATTTTTGTATTGAAAAATATTTAAATCAAAAAATTTTCTTAATTTAATAAAATTACATGAATAAATTTTATTATTAATTGGTTTTGTTATAAATGTTTTAATACAAAATTAATTCACATTCATATTTAATTGTAATTAAATTATTTATGAACACTTCTTCTATTAATAACTCTTTTAAAATTATTGAATAAAATTATCACATTGAAATTTTATTGCAAACTGCCGAAATCGGTAGAGGATGAACAACCAAGTTTATTTAATCTATCGCTTATAATCTCTCTATTATCGTTTTTAACTCTCTTATCATTGTCATCTATTGAACCTTTATTAACATTATCTTTATCATCATCTTTTCTGTTAATATTCATGGGTAAAATCCTATAAAGGAAATAAATATAAAAGTAGTAAGAAAATTATATATTTATATAAAAATTACGTCATTTGGTCTAATAATCTCAATTATTACGACAGTTACTAAGATAAGATCTATTGTATTTTTTAAAAATACTAATAATAATATTATTTGAAGGTTGTGATAAAGTGGGAGTATTGGATGGAAGAAAAAACAACATAATATTAGATGGTTGAGTTATACAGTGGTATTCAAAAATGAGTTTTTTTAACATTCCCTGTAATTTTCGTTTTTAAGATTGTTTTTGAAGCTTATTATATAAAAATATATTTAAATGATATTGACAGCTCACTTATTTATGATCATATTCAGTTGAGATTATGTTTAAACTAGATTTTATTAAAAAATTATACTCTAATAACACTATTGAGAACAACTATAAACTTTAGAAACAAATACTTTCTTGGTTGAAAACGAAGTTCTAGTTATCTTAAATTATTAAAAAATTTATTAAAAAATTCATTTATTTCAAGTAAGGAAATTGTTAAAGTTGGAAACGGTCTCTAGTTTAAAAGTTTCAAAATCTATTATTTCAAGGGTTTAAACCAGTTTAAGTCTTTTTACTAATTTAAATATAAAAAATCATTATTAAGAGTCGTCAACATAAAAAAAGTTTAAACTTTGTGAAAATTTTATAAGAATAAAAGATAAAATAAAATACTTAAAAGAGTTATTTTTTCTGAAGAAGTTAAAATAAATCTATTTAATAATGATAGGCTAGATTTATGGACATTACCAAAGAGAAAGACATAACAGTAAAAACAATATACCTATAGTAAAAACGGGTGATTATGTTATGGCTTGGGTTGTATATTAAACAAGGTGTTAGAAGACTGATATTTATTAAAAATACTATGAGTGGAGCTACTTATAAATAAATTTTAGCAAAAATTTTGACAATTATGTCAAAGAAATATGCGTTGATACATTTATTTTTATACACGATACTGATCCAAGACACACGTCAAATCTTGTTAAAAACTAGATCGATATAAAAAATAGATATCTTGCCTTGACTTTATTAAACTTTGTTTTTAATCTTATTGAATATATATAAGCTTTATTAAAAAAGAATTGAGTAAAAAAGCAAATTTTAAAAGCAAGAATTTTAAGAAGAAATTCTAAAAATATAGAATTTTAATACCGGAAATAGTACAGTCGTATATAATGAGTTTTTATAAGAAAATTTTAGTAATTTACAAAGCCAAAGGCATGTACATCTATCATTAAATTTTAAGTAGCTTATTTCTTTAAATAGTGTTTTTAAATTTTTAAATTAAAAGTATAATTTATTTTGTGTTTTTTATTTTTTTTTCATATCTTTAAAAATAAAACATTTCTATAAATTTTACATAAGATAGAATTATTTAATATTTTTATTCAAAAAATACAAAGACTCATTTTTTTAATCACCACTGTACTACAGTTGAAAAATAACCACTAAACATTGTAAAAGGTTTTGAAAATTTTTACAATATAGTCTGTGATTACAAAATTAAGACTTTTACTAATTAAAAAATCTAGCCTTCCGTGATTCCTCTTTAAATCAATGTGATTACTATTAAAAAATTTCAATTTTTCAATATAACACCTTCTTCACATATATAAAAGATAATAAAAACGTTGTTGCTGATAATATCTTTAGGTTTGTTGTAAATGAACCTTTTGTTCAAATACTATATCCACTTACTGAATCTCCGAATAGTTTAATTTCTATTGATGAAGTCACTGATTGAAGAATACTCTTAGTTTGATAAAATAATAATTAAGAGTATTGAAATTTAAAATTTTAAGGAGATTTTATTATAGTTACCAATAATGACTTAGTTCTTATTTCAAAAGAATCTATAAGTTAGTTCATTACTAACACTTACGAGTTATTGGTGCAACAAGACTCAACAAGGATCTCTAATACTGTAAAAAAGTTTTATTGTGGAGACTATTTAAAAGATCAATAGAGAATTTTACCAATAATTGTGTTAATTGTCAGATTTCTAAGAATTATTTTAGGAGAATAGTTAGTGTAAATTTTCTAATATGGAAAATTTTAATAATATGATTATCTTTATTTAGTTTTTCACTATGACTTAAAAGGCTTTACAAAATGGGTAAAGTGAAATATACACATTCACTACTATTGATATGATTAGATGGTTAGTTTGTTTACATGTTTTATTGAAAATTAACTCTGTGAATGTGGCCATTGTAATTAAAACTTTGTTTTACAATTATGATATTCCAAAAACATTACATATTGATTAAAACAACTGTTTTGTAAAACAGCTTGTTTTGAATCTTTGTGTAAAATAAATTGTCAAGAAAATTTTTAACTCAATATATTAGCAACAATGTAATTTAATAACTAAAAGAATTTATCAAACAATTACTGAAAGTTTATTTAATTGAAAGAATTTGTCTTTTTTATACCATAAAAAATTGAATAAACTCTAAACATCCATCATTAAACTTTTCACTATTAGAATTATAAATATATCAAGTTTTTTGATCTTTTTTTCTAAAAAACTTTAACTTATTGTTAATATTTTTTAATGATGAGTAAAACATATGTTTCCACTAAAACTAAAAATGGTGCTAAACTTCTATTAAAATATAGAGAGATCTAAATCAGGTAATGTATTTATTGATTTTTTGTTATAATCGTTATAAAAAAGTTTAACAATAATTAACACCTAATGCTATCGACAAGTTTATAACTATTAATACAAATAAGAACAAAATTCTTTAAAATTACGAAAAATCATGTCACACCATGTCAATAATTTAAAAAGTTTAAAATCATATAAAAACTTTAACAATTCCCATTTTGAAACTTAATTAATCTCCCTTTTAATTAGTAATATTGAAATATTAACGTTTGTTTGTAAACAATATAAATATTTAAGAAAATAATAAAATAGTTAATACCAAATTTTTTTGTCAACACCTAACAATAACAACTTAGTTTATGTTATAAAATAATATTATTTAAAAAATTGGTGTGTATGTTGGTGTAAATGATGAAAAAAAAAATAATTTAGAACAAATTGTTTTTACTAATTTTAAAAGGTTAAATAACTATTTAATTTTTCATAACAATACAATATTAATGATATACAATTAACTCATTGTTATTTTAAAGGGGTGTATAATTTATTTTTAATAAGAATATAATATTTTTAAGTATAAAAAAATAAACAAACATAACTAATATGATATAAGTAGCTTTATGAACTAACTTTTAATAATAAAAATATTTATAAAAACTTTATATTAATAAATTTAAAAAATTTCAGACCTATGATTTTTGAAATTATAATTTACAAATATTACTTGATTAATTTTTTTAATTACAACTTTAAAATAAAAAATTTGAAAATGTATTAATAATAAATTAATAATCTTATTTTAAACATATTTTTAATGTTCTTAATATTTAATTTTGAAATTTTTCCTAAAAGATCTTGTCCAACTTCACCTATTGAGAGCATGTTCACTACCAGTTCTATTTTCAGTTATTAACAATGTTTGTCTTTCGTTAAACATACTCTAGTTGTTTAAATATCTTCCTCCTTATAATAATTGTCTTCTAAAAAAATCTTTTTCAATTATTTAATTAATATTCGGGTTTAACTAAAAGATTTACTATAAATCTTTATTGAGAGATTTGATAACAAAGAATCAAATATTAAATTAAATAGTTTAAATACTGTTATAATCTGAAAAAAATGATGTCATTGTTTCAAAAAATACTATTAAAAGAAATTGAAGTAAATAAAATATACTTTCATGAACGATTTTAAATATAGAAATAATAAAGATTATAAGAGTGATAGGAGTAGCAAAAAGTCAATTATTCAACTCGTGTAACAGTCTCATAATGAATGCTTCTAAACAAAATATTTCTACCTTTATTATATATTTTAAATTTTTGTTATAACATTTTTATTTAAAAATTTTATTATTTTACTTTAATGCGATGACAAAGTTTTCTATTTAAAATTAAATTCAAAACAAAGAAATTTATAAAAACTTAAATCTATTAGAAACAAAAAGACTTTAAAAGACTTGTATTTTTACTTTCCCTCCAAAAACAAATTTTGTTTGTTAAAAGAAATCAATCATGCATTTTATGCTAAAAACTATTTAAACACATTTTTATATACCCCTACTTACTATCAGGAGAGCAGACAGTCAAAGACG